CGTCGTCGTGTCGTGGTGTGTGTGTGTGTGTGTGTGTGTGTGTGTGTGTGTGTGTGTGTGTGTGTGTGTGTGTGTGTGTGTGTGTGTGTGTGTGTGTGTGTGTGTGTGTGTGTGTGTGTGTGTGTGTGTGTGTGTGTGTGTGTGTGTGTGTGTGTGTGTCCTATCTTGGCATGAAGAGCAAGGTTGTATGGAGAGCAAGCAGATGTTAGGGGACGTAGTAAACAAAGGAAACTTCATATAATACACATTTAACTATTCATACAACTTCTGCCTATATGCAGTGTCTTTGTCTGTATTTAAATCAACAAACCGCTGCTTCAAACGCCTGGACTTTGTGTGTGTGTGTACATGGCATGCACACATCAACACAACAAACATACTCAGTTATTCATTTTAGCCATTCAGTTGAGCTACCTCTTTGTTTTACTTGGGTTGTTTTTACACCACCTAAGTGAAACAGTTACTTTGACACAAAGCTAGATACAGGATGCATGACATTTCAGTGCAAAAGGTTTTTAATGGTTCAGAACATTTATTTTTGGTTTTTCATCAACTTCTCTGTAAGGCAGCGGATGTATGTATATGACTGTTTATACAATTCAAACGCATGCCCTTTGCCTTTCGCCAAAGGTATGGTCTACTTTCTCAAAAAGCTTCCAGTACCTAAAAATAACCGTTGCTGCTTCATGGCTCGTTTCACGCATGCAGCCACTCGACATGCTAGCCTCACAGCCTATGAAGGATACTGTCATTCTTTAGGTTTATACTGCAGAGTGCAGAACATAGTCTGTCATTTAGTGAGGTTTTGATGGGACATTGGGGTGCCTGGTCTTGAGGTGAGAATTAGCCACTAAATGTTTTAGATATTTTACACTGCTAACTGTCAATCAAACCCAGCCGGCATTATGGCTTCAGACTCTCTTTTTTGAAATTGTTTTTTCTTTCTTCCTCTTTCTGTTTAATTGTTTGTTTCCCTGTAAATAGTTAATTACTACCACACGTATCCTAAGCACTGTTATTCCACCTTTTACGCAAGCCTATGTATTGATTATCTATATTATCACAGATTTTAAAGGGCTAAGATGCCAAATCTAACTGGAATAGTAAATCGAGGCCAAAGCAAGGGGTCTGTGTTGTTAATATATAGCTGCATACCATACTTGGAATTGGCATATATATACTGATGTAATTGCAATGGATGTTTTTGTTCCGTTTTTTAATGTCACATCACCTTTAAAAACAATTCCATGAATTGTTCCTTCTTAGTAAACAGTGAGCTCTGTGGGCGGAGAGCTAGGGAAGCTGCTTCAGACCCAGATATCACACCCCTTTCGTTTCTGACAGGGAAGTATATTTTGTAGAATGTCGGAGGGCCTGGCAGCGCAGCTCCACACCCAGGCCCTCCTGTAAGATGATGTATGCTGCGCAGCCCTCTAGTGGCTGCATTCTGTAAATACCACGTATATCATATGTGTGCCGCTGTACATAGGGCTACATAGATATTTCTCATGGCCAACTTTTTCAGAAATATATATGCAAATACAATATTGACCCATTTTTATTTGATTCACTATCACTACGTTTCTGAGACACTATGTTCTTTTGACTTTGATCTTTTGGTAAAAATGAATTAGAAATGGCTTAAACAGGGATTGCTTGTGTATTTGATTCAGTAAAATTATATATTTTTTAGTGGTGGGTTGATGTATTTGCCTAATTTCCTAGGTTTCTTTTCAGAAAGAGGACAAGCGTAACATAACGTGCTGCTCTCTAATATAAGCCATATAGATCAATAATACACCTGATCTATTACAGTGAATTGAAATGATGTTTCCAGAGCCTTGGATATCCTCATTATATAATCTTTTTACTCATATGCTATTTATCCAGGGCTCTTGGCAGATAAGCTTGTAAATGAAAGGAACTCGTATGCCTTCTCTCTGCTGTCAAAGTGCTGTCAGTCATCTTTGGCTTATGCTTCATCAAACAGCATCTAATGGCTTATAAACCAAACTGCCAGAAGCATTTTAGCGCTTAGGTTTAGGGGCCAGTAATGTACGGCTTGCTGCATGCGGGATTATGGTGAAATTCTATCAAATAAAATGTAATTTTTATTTCAACACAATTCCCCAAAGAAGTTGAATTCTTGCCATTTTCAGATGATTTCCCTCAGGCATCTTGGCTTAAAAGAAGCCATTTGCAGAGAGTCTCAAACTTGATTATTTTGTCTTCTATTTTCTGTGTGACAGAAGACACGTAAACGGTTGTTGTGATTGGCCGGGAGCAGACCAGGGTTACGCGGCGGGAGAGCGCATGTGACGTATTCCTACAACTCCGATTTGGGAGAAGTTGTTGCTTTCAATTAATTCAGCCTACATGAGTTTTTAAACCTTCTATAGGATTTAATGTACGTTCTCAGCCACTGTGACTTTTTATTCCAACTCTTCATCAAGTCACTGTGACACTCTGCAAGCTGACCGTCAGCGCTGGACGCGGAGATATTCATTAGTTAAATACAATTCAGTTAATCATAATGAGTTTGGGATATGTAGTCTGTGTGTGTATTTGTATATGGATATAGATACACACACAAAGCAAAAGTGTCCCCTACAGTGATTGGACGTTGAGGAGTAGAGACTGGAGTGTCTTTAGGCAGTACCACTCGTATGTATAGAATGTCAGTTTGATGAGGGGCATGATGTGCTTGGTTACTGAACTCTGACTTTTGAAGTTTTTGAAAAGTCTCCTTGTAGATTTTCTCTGAATACATACTTCCTGTATGTAGAAATGGGTTTGATTTAGTATATATTGTTTTGTTGAGATAGAGATGCGACGTTGATTTGTGTATGTTTAACACAGCGGGAGGTTTGGTGAACATTGTAAGTGCCACAGGGAGAGTTCCCTCCATAAAACAGAACAGGGTAAAAGAGTTGCTGCTCTTTTGGCTTTGAAAACCAAACAGGAAGAGTCTTGTGGATGCATCAAATTGCCGCTAATTGAGGCAAATGTCAGTCAGTCTCCCATTTGTACTCAGTAAATATGTGAATACAAGCTAATCCTCAAACACTACATAGCAAGCAAATACCGTTCAAGCTAAACATGGTGCACCCCCAGATTGTTCCTGTTTGGCTTTACCATGGTAGGCAGCATTGAGGTCGTTGAAAATAGATATCTACCACACACTAGATGAGGCCGTCTTTTGGGGGAGATTTCCTCAAGATTGGCAACAAAATCCAGTAACAACAGCTGCAATATACAACTCATGGTACACTATCACCAGCAAGCTTTACAGTTTATCATGTACGTAGACATTTTTGAAGTTTTTTGTATAACTGTTGCCATTACAAATCCTGTTTGTAAACAGATGTATGATATCAGTCCGGTTCAGATCTCCCACACGAAGGCTCTCAAGTCTTTTTTATTTCCGTTTTTTTTTCTCTCCAATTAGGACAGGGATTGTAATGGAATCAACTTAATTTAGTTCCTACAAAAAGGAGTGTCCACAATGGATGTACACCATAATCTACCTAAAAAACCTACCTCTTTTAGCTCAGATTTTTTGCTTTAGCATTAAGCATTTGCCTCTGTTTTTACTTTTGTAATATTTGTATTCATGTTGGTATTTATTGCTGTCTAATGAGTCATACTTCAATGATTACCTCAGAGATATCTCACAGATTTTGGGAGAGTCCAGCTAATGAAGTCATTCATAGTTTGTTTGTTTTTCTTAGATTTTTTTTTGTACAGTTTTTTTCTTCTCGGACATAGCATTGCCTTCTTTCTTTTTTTAACGCACAAAATACCAGGAGTGTTTTTAATATAGTGCCTGCACTCTGACTAACGGAGCTCAGACTGGCTAGGGTGAGGCTGCATCCACTCCAGTAGAAGACACCCTCCTCTGCCTCTGTGTCCTTAAAGGTCACCTATTATGCAAAATCCACTTTTTCATGTCTTTTATACATAAAAATGTGTCCCCTCTGTGGAAAGAGATTCTGAACATTTCAGGAAAAAGGATTCGCTCACTTTTTGTCCTGATCCATTTCTATAAAAACCTGTCTGAAAATGAGCTGATCAGATTTTGGCCACTTTATGACGTCATAACGGCTTATTACCTGAATCTCCTCCTAGAGCACCATTGTGTTCTTTTTAACCAAATATCTCTCAGAGGGGCGTGGGGAGGGGCTCCTTATTCTCATCTAAAGTAACAGACACAGAATCAGCACTTTTGAAACAGGGCTGAAACAGAGGGGATTATGGGATGCTACAATGCATGATCTGTTTGGTATTTCGAGCCAAACACTTCAGAGACATGTTTTGTATATATCTGAGACCTATTGATGAAAAACAGTATAATAGGGGACCTTTAAGATATCTATCAACATCAGATGCAATAAATCTGGTTGCCATGTTGTTGATATGTACCTCCATGGTTACGGTTCCTGAGGACACAGTGCAGAGGAGCACTTTGTGGAGTGAATGCAGCTGCGAAGAAGGAACAACCTGAGAGACTTTGTGGCAGTAGGAGAAGAGGGAGGTGTGTTTGCGCTCCACTTGGTACTGTTAGCACGGTCTTTGCTCTGTAGTACGCCATCCTTCCCTTGTCCCTCTAACCCCCCCCCCCCCCTGTCATTTCCCCCTATACCCTCTCCTCCTGTCCTAAAGTCTGCTCCCTTCATCATTCCCTGCCGATGTTTGGTCTAACAAGGGGAATCTAGGAGAAATAAAAATCCTCAGTATCCATGCAATGCTGCTTTTATCTGGAGCGTCACCAAGTTGCGTGTTGACGCAACATGATGCAGGCATCGTCCAAAAGTCAGCCCGCAGCGGCGCGACAAGCCTCATCGAAATATTGTGTCATTGAAA